TAGTGCCGATCAGAGCTCCACAAGAGGGAACGCCTCTCTTCTCATTAATGAATATATATTGAGATTAAGTTATCTCTGGACCTGTCCAATTTTCTTAGCCCGGTTAGGACCAAGGCACCGCCTGTGTAGTTCAACTGGCCAGTGTGCACACAGGTGCACATACTCAGACATTCATACCTGCACAGACTAGATTCAATTAAATATGTTTTCTAAATGATTATGCACTTCAAGACACACTCAAGCGTACTCTGCCTTAGCAACAATCCTTCTTCTTAATTGACCTGTTTCTTTCATGCATTTTGATGAGTGTGTGTGTGTGTGTGTGTGTGTGTGTGTGTGTGTGTGTGTGTGTGTGTGAGAGAGAGAGAGAGAGAGAAGGAGATCGGGTAGAGATGGACTATATTTATGTTTTTTATGTCCTCATACTCTGAGAAATATGACCACTTTCTACAAAGAGAGAGGGGAGAGAGATCTCGTTTCCATCCCCTTGAGTTCTTCCTCTGTGCCTCATATTACAGCTTTGGTGCTTGTAATTTGAAGTGCTATGTTTTTGTTTGTCCAATTCCCCTGGCACATCCTTAACTCCAGTGCCACCTGATTTTAGTTCTGTATGCTGCTAGAATAAAAATTGTTCCTTGACACTGCATATTTTTTACCTTAAATACTGTGTTTGAATGATTTTGCTCTGTGCACATTTATGCTGGTGTAACTGTGACAAATTAGGGGGACAGATGCTTTTACTCTGGATGTGTTTTACTTTCAAAGGGACAATGAATTAGAAAAAAAATGCCAGTTCAAAACCAAATTTTGTAGCATTTTCTTTTTCACAGTGTTTCTTTTAACTTCAGGAAAATTCTCTCTGCTTGTTGATGGTATTATTGTGCACCAAACTGTGAGCTAAACAAGCCTCTCAACAATACAGTAGAAAGCAAGATTCAATCATTGTTTTTATTATTTCAGACCCGTATATCACTCAGTGTTGTCACTTATTGATTAGTAAACAGAATTCAAACTGGCTTAGTTGTTGTCCTGTTGCTCTGATCTGGGCAGGGAGAAGCCACCAGCCTCTTTCAGAATCAGTTCTTCCATCCATCCATCCATCCATCCATTTTCCTCCGCTTATCCGGGACCGGGTCGCAGGGGCAGCAGTCTAAGCAAAGAT